CAGCCCACATTCTAGACAAGAGCGGAAAATCGAATTGCGCGGTCCGAAATTTTGGCTTTTCGCGCGGGATTCGGACCTCGAGCAGCGTTTCTTGCTTCCTGCTTTAGCTCCTTCCTCTGGGTTTGCTTGACTTTTCTTCACAGAAATCTACAGTTTAGACACGTACCAAAAAGTGTGGTTTCACCTGCATTGCGGAAGATTCGCGGAAGGGCAGGGCGGAAGGCATTTTTTGGAACCAACAATGTAGGACAAAGCTCATATATGTATACATGGTAGGTGCCTCCCCCCTGGATCTACCAGTTTTCATATCACCAGCACCTAGTTCCATCAAATGGCCATGGTTTGTCTTTGGCACTGTCAAACCGCAGCCCATGTGCGTTTGGCAGTGGTGTTGCTGCTGTTTGTTCGATGTTCTCCTGAGCTTTATGGCCCATTGGTGTCGAAGGGTGAAGTCCTGCTTCCTGCTCTCGCTGGTGCCGGTCGTGTGAATTTCTGAGCGTGGCTTGTGATTGGGACTGGGGGCTGCTACAAGCAATAGACTAGTGTGCCCATGACTTAGACTGATGTTGGGGTCACCCACGTTCCGCAAGCCTGGCGTTTCTACCCTTACACAGATCCCCTCTCCTGCAACGCAGATTCATACCAGGACGGGCAGCAGGAGGTCAGGCCACGCACTTCCCCCAACAGCTGAATGCTTGGGTCTCCGCCCAGATACTTTGTGGTTTGGGGGCGGGGGGTTCTTGGACTTTTCCGCATCTTGGGTTTGGACCATGTTGGTGGTAAACAGAAAGTGTGTTTACTTTTTTGGCCAATCCACTCAGCAAGTGAGGTTGGGGATGTCACCTGGGCTGATTTTCCCTTTCGGGGCTGGGTGAAATCTTCGGAGCCAAGCCTCGACCCAGCTTCGCGGCTGCTTTTGCCCGATCTCCTTTTGAAAAGCCTTCGAGCTGAATGTACCAGTCGCGCGGCGAGGCGTTTCCTCTTCTTCTTCTTTTTTTCGGGGGAAGGCTTCCCCTTGAAGCTCCACGAGCCCAACCAATTGCCTTTGTTTTCTCATAGGAAATCCACGCATCGATGCACCGGAGGAAGCCCATCCTCAGCACGGGTGGGGTTTCCTTGCCGCTGACGCTGGGGACCCGGAAGCGCACGCCTGGAGTTGTTCTCCTTGAACCGCAAAGCAACCAGAAGCAGAAGCTCGGTGGACTAGAATCTTATTCAAGGTCAGCTTTCCAAAAGCAAACGCTTAAGAACTCCATCTTTGGGCTGGAGTTGTCGAAGTCAGCTTCCAAAAGATGTATGACGCCCTTTGCGCTGAAGGTCTTTCACGAAATGCATGGCACCTATAAAGTAAGACCGGGCACATGTCGAAGCTATCTGCGGTCCTTTGAGGCTGTACCACAATACTCTCATCGGGATGGGAGGCAATCACAGGCTTGGGTTGCTCACGAGGAAACCTCACACTTTCGGCGCAAGTCAATCCTCATAGCTGGCCTTCATGTAGTTTTGAGATTTGGGGGGCTTGGCCCAGCTTTTGTAGAATCAGAGACGTTGAGTGTTGGTTCTGTGTGTCGTTTACTCACCGCAGCCGCCTGGGGAATGAAGCAGATGGATTTTTGTAGTACGCCCCCCAGTTCTGAAAGCCGCAATGCAGACGGGCTCTGAAAGCTGTTGGAGTTGAGCCAGACAAAGGCCGCAAGACCGAAGTTTCAGAGGGCAAGTTGGCCTGTGATTGTAGATGTGCCTTGCAATGTGTGCGCCCTGCAACCTACAGACCGTGACACGATCTGCCTTGCGTTGATGCCTTCTCTTGCTGCCTTATCGGTAGCTGCCTTATCGGTATACCGTGGTAGACCGTTGCCATCCCCATCCCTTCTAAATGGAATTCGCGGAGGGGGGTGAACATGGAGTTTCATTTATGGTTCCGTATTCCCTTTTCCGGCAAATACTGCAAAAAATGCAGGTAGGGGGGATCCGTTGTCCATTGCAATGACTCGTCGGAAGTGTTCACACCCACGACATTCAGGCTTGAGGCCCTTTCTCGCCCTGATCAGATGTCCCGGCAAGCCGAGGGCAACGATTCCCGGCACAGAGGCGTGATGGATGCAAACCAAATGCTGCAGATGTGACTCGTGAGGGGCGAGCACTTGGGGCAATCGCGGCCAGGGCGCCATGGACGAGCTTGGCTTACCACTGGTTCGGCTTCCTAGTTTGAGCAACGCGCCAGGCGGAGAGTGGCTTGTTGGGTCAGAAGCATACGATCTACTTGGTCCAGGCCGGACAGAGTTTTAAACCTTGGCATGGGCTGAAGATGATTCGTTGCGATGCCATGCGTGATGACCTTCAACAGAAGTGTGGATGTCAAACATGGTCGGGCATGAAAAGTCACTGATTCGGACCGATTGCACATGTCGCTTGATTTGTTGCTCCATTCAAAAATAGGATTAATTAGGATATCGAACTGCCGCGTGTTGACCTTTTTACTGGTTTGCCATGTCAGCACCACCAGAACAAGAGATTGAAGCGGGCGTTCAAGGGCCAAAATGGGCAGTAAATGCCCTCAGCAAGCAAGGTGTTGCCTTTGCTATGCATGCGTGTGTGGCCATCAGTGAAAAGAAGAGAGAGAACGCGAGAGAGAAAGAGAGAGCGAGAGACGGAGAGAATGAGAGAGAGAGAGAGAGAGGGAGACGGAGAGAGCGAGAGAGAGAGAGAGAGGGAGCCTGAACAGTGATGTTGCTTGCTAGGGCAGAATTTTTCGCAGATCCGTGCTTGACCAGGGCGCTTGGCAGCATGTCCAAAGGTGCCAGCTCAACACTCCTAGCAGTCCACGCAATCCCTACCCCCTTAAAGATGGAATTTGGGGAGGGGGGTAACCCCTGGAATTCCACTTATGGTTCCATTTTCCTTTTTCATGGGAAGACTAGAGGAATGAAATTGGGGACCCCCACCCCCCTCCCCCAGAAGTTAGAAAAGATGCCAAGCAAACAATTCACTCTGCTGTTTCAGCCAGAGCATGCAGCAAGTCACTCACCAGGGTCCACTCTTAGTTCGGCACCGGGTTGTCCTCAGCCGGGAGCAAGATCGCCAGATGGTCGCCTTCGGCCTCACCAGCCACAGCCGCCACTCCTTCGAGGACTTTACCGCTTCTGTAGATGGAAAGACTTGAGAATGCATCAAGTCTTGCTCCCTCACACTGAAAGAGTATAGCCCTAAAAGGCGCCAATGGTAGGTTAAATCTTGGCGAGTCGCCGGATGCGACCCAAACACATTTAGACACTCTGGATGGCGTGGCTTCCATTGAAGCAGATGGCTTGAAGGGTGGATTGCATGTGACCGTCTGCCCACTGCATGCCTTGGCACCTTGTCTCTGACCTTTGGTTCCGAGTGCCCTCCTATTTTGGCTGGAGTGTCCTCTACTTTACTGGCACTGGACCAGAGGGAACATCTTGGAGCAGAAAGGTGCGACTCTTCACACAAGCTTAGCACATAGGCATTTGGAGGTTTCTCCAAATAGGTATCCTGTAAAATGGTGGTATCCTTTTGGCGTCCTTCTATTGTCAACCAAAAGGGGGTCTATCATTTTGAGACACCCCCATTTGCGTGTATGCGTATGTTTCCTGGAGGTTCCCTTGCATAAATATTGCGGGCACTCACCGGGGCAACTGGCTGGGAGAAGGCTACTCTTGCGGGATGCTATCATGGGAAACAGATCCACCTGCGCTTATTCCGCATTTTCCCCAATGTGGGTACCAGGTGGGTCTCTCTGTGTTTTGGGGGGGTACCTCGAAATTGGTGGTTCTTGTGGTTGTTTTCACAACCACAACCACACCGGACAGAATAGGGGTACCCTCGAATATTTGTTTGTGGCTTCCCCAAAAACCCACACGGCGTCCCCTCTCTCCAACGTGGCAAGGGGTCCCAAGAGGAAACTGATCTTCCAGGTGCCCTCCCACAGGTGCCGTTTGTTGGAGGGTACCCTGGACAAAAAAAAAAAAAACAGGACAGAATGGGGGGGGGGGGCCCTTGAAGATGTTGTTTTCCGCGGTTTCCCCTTTTAAAAAAGGAAAAGAAAAAACAAAGCCACGACCACAGCAACAGCTTCCCCTCACAAGAACAACCACCACAGGAGCCTTATTTTTGGAAAAATGTAAATATATACATATATATATATAAAGCAAAAAAAAACGAGCAAACCGCGAGCCTCGGTGTCTCATTGGTCAACCCAGGACTTCGAGGCCCTCCATGCACAGATCTCTGCGAAGGCTTTGGGCCCCAGTGAGAGCTCCGAAGCGGCAGGACCTGGGGACCTCCATTTGGTGAAGAATATGTTTTTCATTTTCCCCTGTTGGTTTTAAAGGGAATCGATTTCACTACTGGAAATATGTTTCTTCTTTTTTTTACAGGGGACTTCAGCAAATGGAGGGGGGGTAGAACCTCCAATGAGGAAGCCGAACCACTTCCTCAGGGGCCCTTGAAAAAAGGTAAAACAAAAATGAGGGCCAACCAAAGTGCATCGAAAATTGGAGCCTTTGGGCAGGGCTCCCTTTTCGTTTGCAGGGCTAGGGAAGAGGGGTGGCACCATCCATTTTCGAGGAGTTCTTTGCCCATGGCTCTGCCTAGACCCCCAAAGGACCCCGATGTTCTTTTTTGTGCCTTTGTCCCCCTTTTTTTGGGGGTCAAAGGCAGAAAAAAGGAATCGGGGTCCTTTCAAGGTCCAGGTGGGTCGACCATTTTCAGACCGACGGGCTTTGATTATGACGTGCCGGACCATCACTCTAGCTCTCATGGCCAAAACATGGCGGAATCCCGCACTTCTTTTTGTCATGGCGGAAAATCCCGGATCCCCCGTTTTTGCACGGTGCCACCAGGCCACTTTTGTTTTTCTTCTGCAGGTCTGGCCCAAGCGCGGCGATCTCTCGTTTCCTTGGGCCCAACTTTGGGCCAAACCGCCGATGTCCAATCCCACTTGGAGCATTGTGGCGGCCAGCGCGGCCGCAGGAGCAATGGCAGGCGCCGGCGGAGCCGGCGCGAGAGTAAGTAGTCGGTGAGCCAGAAAGATGTCGGAGGTCAACCCAGGATTGATGCCAGCCCCTGATTTTTTATTGGGGGGGGGGTGGGGGGGGTCCCTGGTTGAAATGTGGGGAGGTATCACCTTTGTATTAATCTTGAAGCCAACGCCAAAAAGGGTAGGCTCTAAAAAAGACACACCCAGACGCAGCAGTGTGTGAACCTTTTGTTGCTGGTGCGACAAGTAGGGAAGGTGGGAGTGAACCCAGGCTTTGGTCCATTTCCTTAAAGGAAACCAGTTGGATGGTTTATCTTGGGATATCTTGGGCCATTCCATTTCCCAGGGCCCCTGCATCTCTCGCATCTCGCACCCGCAAGGCCACACAAAATGGTTTATCTCGGGGTCATTCCATGTCTCATCTGCCTATCGCAGCCGCAAGTTTTTTCCAGAGTCCACTTCTCCCCTCCACTCTCACCTGCAAGGGGTGACTTTGGCGCTCTCCTGGAAGCGGCGGCCGGGCTGGAAGCCCACAGACCCTGCGGCGGGGTCGTCTTCCGATGGAGTTGGGCCTGTCGTTCTTTGGGTACCTCGGTTTTTGGTTGGTTTCAAAGGGAAAGCCAAAGGAGTTTGTTGGCGGATTTCAAAGGGAAAACCAAAGGAAACCACAATTTTTGGAGGGTCCCCTAAGAAAGATAGACTCTCTTTTCGGACCCACTGGACATCACTAGACATGAGCGTCTCGCAGGTGTTGATAAGCCTCGTTGAAACGTAGAGTTCCTGTACATGCCTTGCATCGAGCAAGGCTTGCGATTGAAAAGCGTTTCAATGCCACTTGTCCGCTCCACAGGAAACACTGGAACCCTTTTCGATTCGAGCAGCCAGAAAGAGCAACTAAGTAGCGGGTGTTGGTTTGTCATTTTTCCACCCTCACAGTGGTTCTTTGTTTTAAATGCTTCAATATGGCAAGACAAGTGCGTAGTGACGCTACAGATTGACAGTTGCCAGCAAACAGAAGGCGTGGCTTGAACATCAACCTTCTTTCTCTCGGCATCACAGCCAGCTGCTCGATATTGAAACGAACGTCGCTTCCTTGCAAGACATTTCCTCATCGAGGGCCAGCAGGTTCAAGCTGGTGAATTTTGGAAATCGCATCACTTGGAACCATTGGAACCATTACTGGTGGTTGGTACGTGGATTATCACATTTGCTTAGGGGGTCATCTATACGTGGTTCAGTTTTGTTTCCATCCACAGTCTGACAGTTCGATCCACTGCCGCGCAGATCATGGAGAAGCTGCGACAGTCTTTGGTGGTGCCGGTGGTCTCCTTGCAGGAGGGGGCTTCCGGAAGCGGCCGGAAAGATGTGAAGTTGCCTGGCGCGTGGCAACTTGTTCAAATGGTCCGACTTTGCTAAAGCCCTTATGAAGCCCCAAGAAGCTCTTGTTAAGCTATGATTAAGGCCTTATTTAAAGCTTATTTGGGGTCTGGACAGGCGCAGGAGCAATTCTGTCCTTTGGCCAACTGTGATCATGAACACTTCGTTAGCAAGCCGCGCTGAGCTCTCGCTGGGTTGTTGATATCTTGAGAATGGACATCAATCGTGCAGACAACTGAGAGGGGTGGCTGTCAATTTCACACAGTTTCACCCAGCAAGGCATCCCAAAGTCAGAATTATGTTTTTGTTTATGCCAGGGAGAGGATGCAACAACTTGCCCAATTGACCTTCAGTAGCAGTCGGTCTTGGGACCATGCGGAATGTCTTAAAACTTGGGACCCCGTTTGGGCCTAGTTCGTCCCCAACCTTCACAATGCCTTCCAGCCTGCCACCTATGTGCATAGGTGACTTGTCAGGCAGGTATGATCTGCACTGTTTTCTTCGACCAACACCTGTAGCAGAGAAGAAGAAGAAGAAGCCTCCTTTTCTGCTCTCCAGCAGACTGGAGGACTTATAAGTGTGCGGAATAGACCAAGCGGGTCGCAATGAATCCACAAAGGCATTCCGAGACCACATCTTCCACAGCGCCGCAATAAACTCCTGCAAGCTAAACGTGCAGAAATCTCGCCCCCAGGACTCCTGCAGACTAATTGTTCGGCACTGGCACGTCCCAGACATGTTCGGCAAGAGCAAGCAGTGTCAGCTTGGCACTTAAGCCCCTCACGTGCATAGTGTCGGTGCACATAGACGTGCTTTGGCCTCCTTCGCGATCAGGGACACAACCTTGTAGATGTGGCACCCACGTTGGACCAATGCCTGTTCAGGTGCGAATTTGCACCGCGAAAGTGAATTACTCTGACTGAAGCACGGCTCCTGACAGGGGTCCCGAAGTTTCAGTTTGCGAGTTCCAAAAGTATTGGCTTGGGTGGGGACGTTTGGTTTGCTGACGTCAGGCGGACCAGGTTGTTTTGTTTCATTTACTAACCCATAGACAACTTGCTGGCGCTCAGTAGGGAATGACCTTCCGGGTTTTGGGAATGAACCGGTTTCTGGGATTCCCTTAAAGGAAGCCAAATCGGGCACGGTTGATCTCGGGGTAATTCCAATTCTGAGGGCCCCTGCCAATCGAACCAGTAAGATAAAGGCGTGTCTCAAACTGGGCAATCAAAACCCGGGTACTTGGAGGGGGCGATAGATTTCGGAGCCCCCCTTTTTTGGGTATAAAGGGAAGCCACCAGTACGCACATTCGCCCATTCTTTCCGGGGATCCGAATCTTTTCAGGTTGGAAACAGATCCGGTTTTTGAAAAGAACGAGTGTTGAAAAGAATGGAATCGGGATCAACCCCTAAAACCTGTAGACAGAATTGGCGACCCCCTCCCAAAAATTCACACCTTCACTTCCAGGAGTTCGATCTTTTTTCCACCTTTCATGGTTGGGATCAAGCCCTACATCCCCCCTATGAAAGACCGTCCCCCCGGTTTTGTGTAAAATAACATGGTTTTGTCGCCGTTTTGTTATTGCTTGTCTTGGGTCTTACATTCGGCTCCATTCTTTTTTGACGCGGAGTGATCCAGTGGTCCAGTCCAGTAGGAGTCCTCGGGGGCAGCAGCGCTGGCAGCTGCGCTGGTGGAGGGAGGCCTCACGACCATTGAGGCGGGACCCTCCTTGGGTCACAGAATGCCCCCTACTCCAAATACCCGGCCTTTTTTTCCAGGGCATCATGTCGACCCTCTACTAAAAGCGGGATCGGTATTTAGCATGGAACACCGAAACCGGCTTTCCCAGAAAAGTGCCAACTGAAAAAAAGAGCGTTGGCATTTTGAGTACGGGGTGGCCAAGTGTACGTAGTGGTTCGATAGCCAGGGGCCCTGAGAAACGGAACTCGGTCCGAGAGTTGTTTCGCTTTTCTTGCGGGTTTCCGAAAATTTGGGGGATCCCCGAAACCGGTTTTCATCAACCAACCCATGGAAGGACTCATTCCCTGAGCAGCAACTGCTGGGTTGAAAGCGGCTGCATTGTGAGGGATTTAAGAATGGGTCTGTCTCAAGATAGGAATCAGAGCCCCCCAAATCGGGTGGTCCGTTCCTTTTGGTTTACTTTTAAAGCCATCGAAAAAGGGTACTTCCAAGAAAAGAGTTGTTAAGTTGGAATATCTTCCAGGAAACGAATCGACGATTCGGCGAGAAATCGCCCGAAGCTTAGGAAAATGATTCATGCTGAAGCTCTGATTTGCAGCGGTCCACCATATTCTAGTGGGTTCAGTCATCTATGTTCAAGAAAGAGTCAAGAACATAGCAGCCTGGGGTGCCATGGAATTCACCTACCTGCTCCTAGAGCAAGACCTGATCATTTGATGGGTCCAATTCAAACTCCCGCTTCCCGCCAATCCACACCGTTGAAACCACGTCAAGCCACGTCAAGCCATCAAAACCGCATCAAACAAGAAATATAAAGCCGTGTGAAACCAAGCCAGCCACCAAGAACCAGTGTGCATTTTGCTTGGATGTTAGGACTTCAACTTTTTGCCAACTAATTGATTTTTTATTAAACCACCAAAAGTGAAGCTTTTAGCAGGGGAGCAGATTTCGCAACCGAGCAGTCCTTCACCACGTTTCCGTCTTTTGGGGCGCCACTCACGCCGAGCTCGGCGTTCGGAAGGTGGTCTTCCGCACGGCGTGCGCTGAGGAGGTGCTGCGACGAATGGCGCAGGCGTGATACGGGCCGCTGGGGATGTGGGTTCGCCCTGAAGATTGACTGGTTGCGTGGAGACGGTGTTAGAAGGAGAACCTTCCAAGTTCTTGCTTTGCCTCACTCACTCACTCACTCACTCACTCACTGACTCACTGACTCGCTCGCTTGCTTGCTCGCTCGCTCGCTCGCTCACTCACAAAGGCGCTCTGACTTGTCTCTCTGGTCACGGCCGAGGTGGCACCTTAGTTTGCGAACCGCAGAGAATGGCCGGCGCACGACGACACCTGTAGCACTTCAGAATACGGGTCAACAGGAAGCAACCGGCACAGCTGGTCCGGGGACACTGCACAAGCCTTTGCATGTACATGCAGACGTCGCTTGGAGGCTGTTGGCTAGGCGTGACAACATGTGCTCAGGGGTGCTTTGGAGATGGTTGGGAACCACTGTATTTCTCACAGGAGCGTAACAACGTGGGCAGGCTTTTGATTTCAATCAGCATGCTGCCTGGGTTTGGGGAGCCCCATCTCGGAATCTGGCCCTGATGAAACCGACATCTTGTTGAAGTATTTGGCATGTGAGATCCTTGTCCTAGGCAAAACGCGTTTTCGGGGAGCACGGAGAGGTGGAGAACTGCGAAGCTGGTTTGCCCTCACAGAACCTGTTTGCCTGTTCGTCCGTTTTTGCTTGCCTTGCGTATCTTCTTGCTTCATATTAATATATATCCTCTCCATGAGGAGTTCCACTAAGGCATGGTTTTCATACACTGGGCTGCGCTGCCGTCGTAGAAGCTGATGTCGCATCAACTTCATGTTTGCTTGTGGTTTGTGTCCGCGTCAAGATCATGAGCAGAGGGCTCTTGGCAACACACGCGCAGGGTTTGGGACATCATTGTTGAGCTCGATGGGCAGATAATTTGAGAGGGGCAGATAGGCTGAGAAGGAGCTGCGGATGGCCCACACGTAAAAGTTTGCAATATGTGGACGGCTTTGCCACAGAATGCAGGTTCCTGATGATCCTAAATGCGGCACATTCACATTTAAGTTTATTGATACCTGAGGAATGCCTACCCCAGAAGCACAGACATCCATGTCCTCTAAAAATCAGAGTCTCTTCTCCATCAATAAATGATTTGCGTAATAAAATGTTCCCATGAGAAACGGAAGGAGTGTCCTCTCCAGTTCTGGATACGACAAGGCCTTCTTCTCGTCAGCAGTTTGTTTCCATTCGTAGGCTCAGCCAGATGCCCTTTTGGGCGCGGGGACCATCCTCACTGCAGAACAGGCGCAGCGAGTGACTTGGCCTTCCGAGCAATGTATGGGTGTGTATTTGTTTGAGGGTACCCTTTTTGGGCTTACTTTGTGAAGGAATTCCAAAGGGAAACCGGCAGTTGTTGGGGTCCCGTATTTTGAGCCACACCCAAACGGTTCTTCAAGATATGACCTTCTCTTTGCCGTGATTTCAGCATAGAGAAGCTGTATGATATCAGCAGCCTGCAACACTAGCACGGGTTGACTTGACACGTATTCATGTCAGCCTTCTGACCCAGCTGTGCTGCTATGTTGAATCCCACAAGGTTGCTCTCAGGATTCACCGGCTTGTGCGGTTGAGGGGGGGGTGAACCAATGTCCTTTATGTGGTTCGATCAGGGGGATCGATGTCTTGATCCAACCGGAGGAATGATGCCATCTACTTTCACCCAGCTGTGATGCGGGTGACTGATTGCTACAGGGCCCTCCAAGCCAGTTTAGCTTGAGGGGCCCGAGACCCCGAAATCCTGGCACCTACGGTCCCACCCCCACCCCGACCTCCTGAACTCACACCCCGACACCCCGACACCCCCACCCCCAGGACAAGCCAACCCGCGACCAACCATAAACTAACCCTAAACTAACCATAAATACACCCTAATTACACTCTAAACCAATTCTAAACCAACCCTAAACCAACCCTAAACCACCGCAACCCAACCACAGGACCACAACCACAAGGGGGGGGTACTTGTCTGACCCATGACCATGGTGGCAACGCTGTACCATATATATATATATATATGCAGAGTTCCGCGAAATCGATTCGGCAGTCAGACAGACCTTTATGTCGATGGAGCGAAACTTGTCCTTCATGTCTATTGGTATGTGTTGGTATTGGTTACATTGGTTTAGTGTTGGTTTAGAGTTGGTTTAGTATTACTTGTTGCTTAGATAGTGCGGCCTCAGCACAGGTTTCGCATTGCTTTTGCTGCCTTAGTACTCGGCTGCCGTAGTACTGGCTTAGTATCGATTTGGTGTTGGTTTAGTATTGAGTAGTGCTGCCTTTGTAGTGGTTTTACGGCATGTCCTAGTGGCTGGGCGAAGGGCCGGGTTGGTGAAGATTTATGATGTCGTGACGTGTGGAAATACACAAACAACACTGTCTTGTGCTGAGTGCCCTGTTCCTTTCTTCTTTGTTCCTTTTTTTTTGGGGGGGGGGGGGGGTAAACAATTTTGGAAAATCCATCTTGTTTTTGGTAGCCTTGCAATGGGCACCCTTAAGGTACAACTGGAAGGAACGGGCAACGGAGCGCCCATGTATCGAAAGCTTCGGCATCCGGCCACATATGTTTGACACATAGCCCGTGGGCTTTGTTGTTGCTATCAGTCAGACATGTTTGATGCAATCGACTTGACCAGGTAGCAAGTTGGGCTGGGGTAGGGAGGCAACTTCTCGGATGACTGCTTCAAACCTTTGGTTCAAGTCATTCGGGGGCACAGTCTCAGCGCGCAGTGCGTGGCTGTGTTCTAAGATAGGGAACCTCCTCAGAGTAGGTTTGCTTTCGGCTCCTGGAGCAACAAGCCCCCCCCGACTTGTTGTTTGACCCTGAGCACAATCCAAAAGGGGAACCTCCAGGCTCAGCCCCCATCTGTGGTTACGGGTGAAGCGCGCCCTTCAACCCATATTCCGTTGGGAGCGAAGGGTCAAGCCCCGCCGGGATCTCTTGAGCCGCTGCTGAGAGTTGGCGGCCGGACTTGGAAGAGACGTGTTTTGCAGTGCTTTGAAAGGGCTCAAGAGGGCGAGGGCGCGGCGTTGGTTTATATATTTTTGCACACTCAGCTAAGCGTGTATACATACTATATAGGCATATATTTATGCTGAATAAACTCTATAATATATACATATATATATATATATGTATGTACATACTTATATATATATATACATATGCGTCTTGTCATGTTTTGCGAAGGGAGCAAGTACCCCCACTTATGGCAAGCTACAGCGACATCCACAGGTGTTTTTTCAGCCCAGGCCGTGCGAGCGGGGGCGCAGTTCATCGTGTCGCCGGGGCTAAACCCGGAGGCGGGTGCGGTACTCATCTTCCACTGGCTTCCAGAGTTGGGTGTGTCTTCTTTTGGAGTTGGTACCCCCTTTTGTTGGCAGGTTTGGAAAGAAGCCAAAAAGAAAACCGAAGCCAATTTGGAGGGTACCCCATTTTAAGAAAGGCCCTGTTGTCGTGTCTTGTCCATTCCTGAGCCAAAAAGCAGGGTTGACCTCGATGTCCCCAAAGCCAAATTTGAGGCTCAAATGGGACGTGTGTCAAAGAGACCCCAAAGCGACAGCGAAGATCTTTCCTGGCGAAGTGGCCGAGGGCGCGGAGTTGGGCTTCAATCGTAAGATCATGGGAGTGTGAGGCGTGAACGACATGATGCAAGCACACGCAGGATGGTGTTCCTCTCGCCAGAGTTTGTCTGAGCAAAGTGATACAAGCGACTCAGGTATAGAGTCTTGTTCTTTTGAGGATGCACTGTTGAGGGTTTAGGGTTGCTGTGTTGTGCATGCACTGCTTAGGATTGAGGTTGTAGAGTACCATGCAGTTGTGGATGCACTCTTCAGAGTACAGATCTTTGTGCTGTAGATGCATTGTTGAGGGTTTCATGAGTGATATTATTTCGTTGTGGTTTGAGATGTTGCTTCATTCATTCATTTGTTCATGTTTCCATCCATCCATCCATTCATGCATTCGTTCATTCATTCATTCATTCTTTCTTTCTTTCTTTCTTTCTTTCATTCATTCATTCTTTCTTTCTTTCTTTCTTTCTTTCTTTCTTTCTTTCATTCATTCATTCATTCATTCATTCATTCAATCGGCATACAGGTGCTGATATTTTGATTCCATGGGGCTCAAGCCAATTGCGCGTTCTCCGCGGGACTGGTGCGATGAAGGCGTGCACCATCGCAGGCTATGAGGACCTCGAGTCATTGAAGATCGAGCCCGACTACCCGAAGCCCTCAGTGGAGCCAGAAACGCTGCTGATCAGGACATGTGCTGCTAGGTCCCCCAGTAGTGCCCTGGTTTCCCTACTAAAATAGACTACAGAAAAAGGGCACCCTTATTCTAACCTCTCTACTGGAGGACATGTGCTGCGTCGCTGGCCCCGGGGGACGTGCGGGTGCTGAGCGGCCACACCACTCTCATGCAGGCGCCCAAGCGGTTCCCCTATGTGCCGGGCGGCGATTCGAGCGGCGTCGTAGTGGAGGTTCACTCTGCCGAAGCAAGGTTTCGGGCGGGTGATCGCGTCACCTGTCTGTTTCCAGAGCCGAGGCCGTTCGAAGCTCTGGCAGAGTTCCGCCTCGTGTCGACAAAGCTTTGTGCAAAGATGCCCGATTCGGTATCTATGGTGGATGCGGCTACGGTGCCTTCGAGCGGACTGACTGCGTACTCATTCAAGGAACACGTCCGGCCTGGGGATCGTGTGGTGGTGGTGAACGCGTGCGGGGGTGTTGGCTGCTTCCTCCTACAGCTGCTGAAGCAAGACTTCGGCGCCAGCTACGTGCTTGCGGTCACTGGTAATGTGGAGCTGGCTTCTTCGCTGGGTGCTGACGAAGTGGTCGACAGAAACTCAGGGGCCAACTGGTGGGAGCACCCCTCGCTGCAAACAGATCCGGCGGATCTGGTGCTCGACCTATACGGCACGGCGACGCACTGGAACGCCTCATGCACCAGCGCAGCCGTGAAGCCTGCGCGGAGGGGTGGTCGCTTTGTTTGCATCGGACTGGAAAACCCGTGGCCAAAGGTCAAGTACTTCTGGGATGCAGTTCCAATATTATCTTCATTTCTCAGGCGGAACCTCTACAGCGCTTTCCACAAGTCCTCGTGTCCCACGCATGCTGGTCACTCGGGCCTAAAGACGGAGATCCAGCAGAGGAGTGAGGCCGTTTTGCGGCTGATGGGTGAAGGCAAGGTGAGATCCGTGGTGGCGCAGGAGTTCCCCTTTGATGCCGAGTCGCTCAGGGAGGCCTTTCGCATGCAGATGGCCAGGCGGCACTCTGGGAAGGTGGTGATTCGGGTTTCAAGTGAATGATGCAATGCCGAGCTGGAGGAAATAGATCAAAAGCAGCGCGCAACGAACAGGCGCCTGAATGTGGCAGCGAGCATTTCAGAAAGAAAGAGCGTGAACATGATCATGCCTTGAAGGGTGGCTTGTGTTTTCACCGTGAGGGTGAACCATGCTCTTCGTTCGGACAGGGGATGGAGCATTACCGTGACGCGATTTGTTTTCGAGTCAGCCCAGTGAGCAGCGACGCGACACGTGTTTTCCCAGCATCAGGTGCTTTTGACAGGCCTCATTATTTTGCCATGATCAAAGTCACCCCCTAAGTGGTGGGTTAAAGGGAAACAACCCCATAACCCACAGAAACCGTCAAAATAATGACCCCAGTTTGATGGGTCATGTTGCCACGGAAAGGGGAGCTCACACGCCAGAGATTGCCAGGTGGTGCGCTGGTGCCAAGAGAAGGGCGTTGTGGTCATCCCTGGGGTCGCCACGCCTACCGAGGCGGGCAAGGCATTGCAAGGAGTTATAGACCCTTCTTCCAACAACTTGACTTCCTCAGTTCATCGCCAAGGTTGTTCGGCTGCGTTTGTGCTGCTGAGGTAGCTGCTTTCGCGGCTTCTGTTGCATTTTGCAACATCTGTGTCATCATCGCGACATCAATTTGTCTAGCCATCCTAAGAGATAGTGTCGGCCCTTCCGGGGTTCCAATGCAAGGTTCTGTATGCCCGCTTCAAAGACTTTGGCTTTGGAGCATTTTAGTGGCAGACCAAGGGTTTGTTTGCTTTTGTTGGCCCACTCGATCGGAAGTGAGACAACCAGGAAGCGAAGAAGGGGCCTCATGAAAGGAACAGTAGTCTTCCAAACCCATGTGTTTGCTTCTATGCTGGTCGGAAAGAGGATCATTAAGTCGATGTGTTGCTCATCGCTTCTCCAAGTCTACAGTTTTGTTTTTGTGATTAGCCATGGTTTATTTCATCACCAGGGATGTCGCGGTAGTGACTAACCTGTGATGTTTGGCTCAAGATTTTGGGTTCCGTCGCGCCTCGAATGGGCGTCGCCGAACCCCTGCGTCGACCGACGGCATCTCGGGGGAGAAAGAGACCTCGGGCCGCCGCCAGGTTGGTAGGGACCAGTCGTGCGGCCTGTTGTCGACCAAGGTTGCGGGTTAACCCTTTTCTTGTTTGGTTTGTTCCCTTTTGGTTGTTGTTCTCTGGTGTGTGGGAAACCCTGATCTTTGGGACCGGGGATTGGTTTGCTTTTGGGGAACCTTTCTTTTGTGGCTTGTTTACCCCAACTTACCCATTGCCTGGGCACAGGCTCGTGCCCGAATCACAGGTTATCAGCCGTAGGACTTTCCTACGCGCTTGAGACCATCAACTACAAGCTCTATGTCGACCCCACGATCTCGCAGGAGCGTCGTGGATGAGGAGGCCATCCTAGGTGGCCTCCGCTCAGGTGAGGACCTGCCGGACTATGACTACGAGGATTTCGAAGCAGGTTCGACAGGTCAGGACCGCAGGGGTGAAGATCCCGGTAGGGATACACCCAGGGGCCGTGGCAGGTACGCCGACGATGGAGACGATCGTATTTTCCGCCAGGCCACTGATGACGAGCGGACACGAAGGGTTTACTCCGGTAGGAGTGGCTCTGAATCAGGTCACAGGCGTGGACATTTTGACTTCACCAGCATGGCGATGGACATGGCCCGCCCTCATTCGGATGACCCGGAGGCCATGCCGATTCGACCTCCGAGATCTCTTGTTCCAGGTGAGTCGCAGGTCTCGGATGAGTTTGAGAGTAGGCCGCAGGGACCGGGAACTATGGTTCTGGTTCCGGGAGGTATCCCGGGCCGATCCACTGGTTCTCAGAATCCTGGTCAGTTTGATGAGCACGAGGAGCGGAAATTCACGGACTTCGGATACGATGATCTGTTGAGATCAACCGCAGGTTGGGGCAGTAGCTCAAAGCAGGGGTCTGATGCCGGTAGGCCCAACCCTAATACTGCCAAATCTGAGTCTTATGATGGCGAAGATTACAATTTTGCGGATGAGGAGGAGAGCCATTCGCGCCGAGATGCAGGCAGCCGTGAGACTGCAAGGACTAATCCCGCCGCTGCCAAGTTTGAGGTCGATGATGATGATGAGTATGCCGCGTTTGCGGATCGCCGTGATGAGGAGGAGGACCAACCACGACGAAATGCTAGGATCCGTGATGCTGCGAGGCCCAGGAGCCTCTCTCGTGGAGCCGTCAGGGACCTTCGTGTTGACAGGGACGCCAGAAGCGAGAGAGAGAGAGCCAGGGAAAGTCGGGAAGTTCTTCGGGGATTGGAGGCCATTCATGACCGCGAGGGACCGGTAGGTCCCCCGGCTATTGGTGATTCCCCGAATGTTCCCCCCTTTCCCAACATCACATTTGGAGGTCCGTTGAGTCAGAGAGACGTGAGCTCGAACCGGGTTACTGGTTCACCGAGGATCACTGAGCGGGCTGCCGATGTTGTTAGGACAGGTGCCAGAGATGGTCGGCTTGCCGATGCACTCGGGATCGAAGATCGTCCGTCGATCGCTAGCCCGTTAGGGCGAGATACCAGTGATCTTGAAACTCTGAGGTCAAGCAACGAGTTCACACCTCAATGGGGTTCGACTGCCAGGGAACGTAGTGTTTCTGCAAAGAGACCGCCACCTCTCGCCGCTGAGACCGATAGGTCAAAGGCGAGGAGGGCTAGCCCCTCACCAATGGATTCAACTCCGCAGGATGAGGAGATGCCCGATCCCGCTGATGTTCACATCCACTCCACCCCCGAGTCACGTGCATCCAACATTGATCCTCGATCTGGCGATAGCCGGAGAAGGGGATCTACCCCGAGTAGACCATCCAGGATTGATGATTGTCCCGTGGATGACCCCGGAAGACATGCCGGGGCTAGTGGGGCTCCTGAGAGGATCGAGATATCGACTCCTCCCGCCCTCAGATCCCAGTCTTCCGGCGAATCAGCTGACGCTAGGGCAAAGGAGGTGTTCGATTTGCACATCCAGGAGATGCTCGAGAGAGGTGAGGTTTCCGGCTCAGTCGCGAAGGCGTTCCACATCTTTGCTGACCAAATCAGGGTACTGAACGGTCAGGTGAGTTCCATGCGAAGGGAATGGAGCGACGAGAGTCAACGGACAAAGGACAAGGTCGATCGCCTGGCAGCTGAGGTTGCGACCCAATCTGATGCCGGGAGGATGCGAATGATAGTTCAACGGTTCGCAAGGGAAGTTATTCCCGATAGCAAGGCCATTATGAGGCAAGCCATCGATGAGCAAGCCGAGGTCGTGGAGCAGAGGATTAACCTATTGTCCCACGAGGTCCATGAATCTGTCAGGGACAATGAGGCATCGACCGATCGGCTTCGCCTGATGATTCAGGAAAATAGTGAGGCTGCCCGCAGAAGCCATGCTGCTTCTGAGGACGAGACGATTTGGACAAGCTTGAGAAACGGATGTTCTCGGTAGAGAAAACCGTTGGGATACGGACACCGGCAGGTGTATGGAACCCGAATCCTGTCGCGAATCTGTCCGATAGGGCCAGCAGCAGTGTGGTTGACGCGAATTTCAGGGAGTTAAACCTGAAGATTGAGGAAGCTCTCCTTGAACACGAGAAGTTTGCTAAGTGGGCCTCTGAATCTATTGAAGGGGTCAAAGAAGAGCACACTCGTCTTGTTAATCGAGTGTCTAGACTGCAGAGTGGAAGGGGTTCTCAGGAGGTCGATAGACCATCAGGGCATGATTCCCCGCAGGACTGGCATGAGGCAGTTGACGAGATCAATCGGAAGATGCATGATCTGGCTCGAGGAATTCAACGTCAACGTCGGGATCATGACGACATCATTTCGAGGTTTGAAACCGTGAAGTCACATGTTGAACAGTATGAAGCGAGATCGGCAATTGTGAATCGGGTCGTTGATGGCATCCAAGGGCAGATCCGTAATCTTCCTGCCAGCAGTGACCAAGTGCAGCCTGCCGTTAGGCGAGAGCTCGGCACATTCCGGAGTACACTTGAAGGTGTTATGCGGAGAGTCAGCGCTATCGATGGTAACGTGCGTAACCTTAGCGCCGCGAACAACAGAATCATGTCCCAGCTCTTTGAAATGGAGGGTCAATTTGACGAGGCTGCTGGCATGCTTCAGGGTGTCCAGCAGATTAATGAAGCTCCTCCACAACCCAGAGAAAGACGGAATGTTGGTTACCATGCGTTTGCGGGGCAAGGACATAGGATCAGGTCACCGACGCCTACACCAGGGGAGGGTGACGGCCGGGGTACTGGCCTGCCGGTAAGACCAGGCGAAGGCGTTATTTTGCCTGATCATGTTTTGCCGAATGTGCCCGATAGGGTCGATCCTTCTCGCGCAGACAGGCATCCCATCTATCCCGTTAGGGAGAGGTCCGACAGCAGGAGCAGGAGGGTTCGGGGGTTGCCTGACAGGTCGCATTCGCCACCGGAGCGTGCAAGGGGTGGTCCCCGCGCGCGCGCAAGGGGGGACGTTTCTATTTCCCCCAATAGGGATGCGGGTAGGAATAGGAGCCCGAGGCCTGCTGCCGTCCCCGATAGGGGATCTGAGGCCCGGAGTCGACAACCGAGGGGGGAGAGGCCGATCCGCGATAGCGGGAGCGTCTCTCCGAATTTTGATAGGCCAATCCGCGATAGCGGAAACGTCTCTCCGAACCCAGGTCGTCATTCAGGAGGTGGTGGGGATAATAGGGCCCATGCCGACATCCAGAGTCCTGGTGATGAGTGGAGGACTCCTGGGAGCAGAATCAGCGCCGACAACCAGAGTCCCGGCGATAGGCGAGGGACTGCTGGAGCTCCTTCGGATCGTGGACAGGCCTCAGCGCCGGCTGCAAGAGGGGCTCCCGGCGGTGATGGCCCAGACGCGCCGAAGATTTGTGCCCTTGATGATCCCAACGACCGTAGGCACCCGAATGCTGAATTCTCGTGTGTGACATGCAGTCGTGAGTTCTGCGGGCTTTGCCGTGGTGACGATGGGGACT